GTCATAAAAAAAATCGGATATGAGTCAGATGGGTCAAGAAAATTGGATTTGGGTCGGATTTGCCTGCAGTGTGAACGTAGCCTATGTACTCAGTGGAACCCAGCAGGCTCTGCAAACAGAAGTCTGTAGTACCTTGAGGGAAGCAAGTGGGTGTTCTGGTCCCAGCAGACTCCAGTGGAAGGCAGCCAGGTCCTCATCAGGCAGAATATGATTTCCTGCAAAGCAAGAAACTCTTTCAAATATGTGCCAGGTCAATAAACGTGAGCAGAAGATAAAAGCACAGAGATCACAGTTGACAGGACAATAAAAGGCTGTGATGGAGGCGTGTGAAAAGTGCCGCTGCTCACCCAGCAGAGCAGCAAAAAGTGGCAGGTGCTGTGTTTTCAGCCCAAGCTGCCTGGCAGCCTCAGACAGCAGATACTGATGCGTGGTCAGGTTCTTGCCGTTCCAGCTCAGTTTGAGTGCGTGCGAGGAGAAATAGGCGGGAACGTTGCAGAGGGCAAACTCAGAGTCTTGAGCTATCAAGCCGGAGAATCCAAAGTCCCTGTAGAGAGACAGCACTTCCTGGTGGTGGTCCTCCAAAGTCTGTACAACCTGCACAAGTTAGTCAAGAAATTCAGTTTGCACAAAAACATGAAGTCTGATTACAATATTTTACATAGATTTTTAACATTTTCAGAACCATTAAAACATCATAAAGCACAAAGAACACGTTTTTTCTTGTTTTAATTACCATTTGAATTTGCAGCAGTTTTATCTGTGTGTGTGTGTGTGTGTGTGTGTGTCATATTGTTTTGCTTTAGAGTATCACCCCCCAAAGTTTCCACCCTGAGTATTTTCTATATCTCAATATAGGTCAGATTCTCTAGACAGATACAGTATGTGAGCTTCTACTTGTTTCTGACAGTAGTTTAAAGACCAGTTGTTACAAGGTTCCTAAAGCTTAAGGCAAATTTAATTTAAGACTTTTTAAGACCTTTTTAATGCCACTTGAAATGAAATTTAAGACCAACTTTCACAAAAAACACAAATGTAAAATAAAAAAACAGTTGACAATTTTATCCAAATGTTTAATACAAAAGAACTAGCTGAGAGAGGCATTCTGTAAATTATTTAAAAAATAATTAAATGTTACCAGTTATTTTAATATTTGAGACAAATTACAATCATCCTAATTACAATGTGTTAACATTTTTAAGACCTCTGAAAGATTGATTTAAGACATTTTAAGGCTAATTAAGGCCTTATTTTTGGACTGATGAATACAATGCCTTTTAAGACTTTTTAAGGATGTGCAGGAACCCCATGTTAATCAGTCTTAGATGATTTGGCCATAGATTATTTTTATTTATTGGACCATGTTTCTGCTTTATTTTTGTTAAAGTTTTCCTATTGAGAGTTTGACCCTGTAAATACTGAACTACTACTGAAATCCCATCAAACACAATGTAATACACCCTGATGAAACACCTCTAACCTTTTGTCAGGTGTTGGTCCRGTCTGCCTCTAACCTAACAGTGTGGAGAACGGGATCAACACCTAATTAAAGTCATACTGTGTGCTTCTTCACTGTTTAGTTTGATTTATGGGTTTTGTATGAAACAATGAAGCCACGGCTGGTTATGGTTTCTAACTGAACAATAACTTGCGATCTGGCTCCACGGTGCACTGCTGCTCGTCAGGAAAATAAGCACTTTAAAGACGTTTTTCCTGCAGGTTCCAGMTTTCAAAAATGTTTCTTGTTAGGAAAATAAGGACACGTCAGAAGTTAACCATGTGTTCGTCCTCGGTTTGGTAAATTTGTCTGCAGCTTTTAATTCCAGCTCTGAGATCTCGGATCAGATCTGTTTTATTTCTTTTAAAAAGTCTTGAGCCACTCCTTATTTTAAAACCAAAGTAATCAGTGACTTTATTTTCTTTTTGGCCACAGACTCAGGCTTCCACAGCTGTACGGAGAGCAGAGGGTGTTCGATTCGTCCGTCCAAATGAGATTTTTAACATTTTAACAAGGGGAGGTCAGAGGTGATGATCTATTGAATTTGGCGTGTCCTCTGGCTGCAGTTAACTGGTAACGTGCAAACAGGTACAGGTGTTTATTATCTATTACAATGCTCCAAGTACACTGTAGTCCCATTCAAACAGGCAAATGGGACAGATGGCTAACATGAACTGCAGTAAACTGAATTTATGAACATGAAGACGGCAATCTGTGAGTGGTTCCTTCTTTGGTTTTTCCATTCCAAAATAAAATTGTAAATCCAAAGTTCCTTCAGGTATCTAAATCCAAAATAAAATGCACAATTTTTGTTTAAATATGTAGCAATTCTGGAAATGATGGTAGTCAACAAAAAAGTAGTTTATAGTGGCTGGAAGAAGGCCGCTTAAAAACCATAAAAATATTGGCAACGGCTGCACTTGAATCTTATTCTGCAGAACTTACATTAAAGCTATTTTGTTCACGGTAAGTACCTCAGCTCTCAATAAGACGCATCGACTCTCTCTAAATAAGACGAACGAATTCATGGCGAGAAGCGAAAACGTAACGAGTTAGGGACAGGATTTCTGGTTTTACCTGAAAGTAAAAAATGGTGCACTAACAAAATATAATGGTTGTCTTTGCTTCAACCATGAAGATAAAATATAAAGAGTGAAAAAATTAGCCTTTGTTGTTGTTTTGTTTGTTTTAGCAATTGTCGTTTTTCTAATTTAGTTGTAAATAAAAAAAACACCCAATTTTTCAATTTATTGCTATGTATGTAGAAACGGAAAAACCAAAGAACAGATTTATGACAGACACCCACAAGGATCTTCAAATAATGTTAGCAGTATGTGTGTAGAAATACTTTCAACTGCAGATGACCATTTCAGATCACAAACAGAAATTATGTTAACTTGCTGTTCTCTTTTAGATAAATGACCTTTGTACTAATTGGCTCCTCACAATGTAACAAATGTGTATTATTATTATTTTTATTAAATCTGGATTTAATTGACTGTGTGTCCAAAGACAACTTCAGTTGTAAATTGAAGACATAAAAATAATTTGAATTAAATCACCAAGTAAACTGTATTTTTTAAAACTTTCTACAAATGAGACAATATTTACTATTTTAAAAATAATTTTTACCACTCTAAAAATATTTGTCACTGTATAAGTATTATTTACCACTCTAAAAACAATATCTAACACTCTAAAAAGGCAACTGATCATATTTTTACATATTAGTAAACAGATTATCAAGTAGCAGGATGCAGCAGCTACAACCAGCTCACTGTAACACAGGTGGGGTAAATCACCAGCTTTATCACGATACGATATTACATCAATGTTTGAATGACAATTCGATATTTCTCGATATGACAAATTCTGTCACGATATGATTACGATTCAATTCAATTCACATGTCTGCGATCGATGTAATGCAATATCATATGCCCATAACACAATGACTGTGTTAGATGGGCATACGATATCGATTCCCATGGAGAATATGATGACGATATAGATCGATATTTTCATTTTGCTTCGATATAACTGAATCGTGAACCGTTCAAATCGATATATCGATATAGATAGATGTATCGTTACACCCATTCAATCTATTCAGGTTTTTTAACATAAGAACATTCTTTAATATGCACAGGCAGAGCAGCTGCTTTTACAGTTCCTAAAGTGAGGGGGTCAAACTTGTGCTTTCCGTCCTCCATTTATTGACCTAAAACATGCCAACAATAAGACAAAAGCAAAGTCTTTGTTGATTCTAATTTCCCTTGAGTTAAAAACTAGAAAAACAATATTTGAAATAATCTCTCCATTCTGCACCCACTCCTCCAGCTTTGAGTTGGTTCAGTCCAAGCTGAACACTGGTAGCCTCTGTCTAGCTATTCAGACAGCATTCAGCTGTGGAAATGAGGAAAAACTTCAAAAACTCCATCTTTTCCTGGCGATGAATCAGTCACAACAGCACTCAAACGTTGACACTGTAATGTAACACTATGAAAGAGAACAAGGTGTCCACAAGAATATAAAATGTGGTAAACATAAATTCCTGTCTTATCTTACTGAAATCAACCTTGAGCTAACTGTGTTTATATTTGTGAAACTGAACAAAAGACCAAGGTAAAATTGGACTAAATAGGGCTTAAAAGGAAGAGTTTTGCAAATGTTTACATCTGGGGTTAATATGTAAATACACCATGCCCATCTGCCACTGTAAGAAAAACACAAAACCCACAGCTGACAGGACTTGAACCCTGGTCTCCCACATGAAAGATCGTTGTCATCTCATTACACCAACTAAACACCAGACACTTTTGTTGCCAGAGATTTACACACTGACTGTATGTAAATTTACAGTAATACAAAGTAGGGTTGGGCAATATTGGAAAAAAAATTAATCATGATTAATTGCTGTATTTAGCCGATAACGATTAATTTGACGATTAATCCCCTGGAGTCCCTGGACACCCTTATATCTTAGTCACGTGACCAATTTATAGGGAGAAAATTGGCTTTTTGTAAAAATCTCTTCCAACTTGTGTCAAAATTACAGATTTCAGGCTATACATCAAACTTTAAATTGTGCTGATAGATAAATAAATTACACAACTTATTTTTTTTAAAGTTGGACATATTTGAATCAGAAAGGAGCACCAAGCGGTTGGTCTGCCGGGTGGCATTAATCGTATTAATCGTCAAGTGCCAAAAATTAATCAATTAATGTTTTTCTGACAATTAATTGCATATGATACGATTATGCCCAACCCTAATACAAAGGGACTTTACATTGCATCAAAGTGTCAAATGTTCAGTGTTTTCCCATAAAAAGATATATAAAATATTTACAAAAAAATGTGAGGGGTGCACTCACTTTTGTGCTCAACCTGTGGATACACTCAGAGGCTTTGCTTCACCATTAAAGTGCCTGTGACATGCATATCTTCAAATACAAAGAGTCAAAGAAAACATCTTCATAATTAAGAAACTCGACTAAAACTCAAGATTTTACCCATTTTGTCACCTAACTGGCATGTTTTCTTTTGACATTGGCTCAGCCAAAATAAAACAGGAAGTGACATTCAAGGGTAACTCTTTAATAAAAGAAACTCTTTTGGTCTTTATTTTTTAAAATTATTAGTTGAACTCTGACTCTTCTTCATCTTTCTCTTGATAATTTTTCAAAGTAATCTAAAACCCATCAGGTTCTTCTTTACAGTCCATGTTGTCGACCAGAGTAAACGATGCTCTGTGCACATGCAGACGTTCCCCTTTGTCATCACTTCCTGTTAATTCACCTGTGAATATCTCAACAAGTGTTCATCTCGTGGCAGGGATTTTTAATTGTAATTTTTTTTGTTATACTGTATGTGGTTATTGTTACCTTTCCAAAAGTGCATTCATATTTACATACAAATTCATATTCATACAAAAAATTGATGTCACAGGCACTTTAAGCTCCCATGCTTATGTATTTATTTAAGTATATTACGGATGGGTCACACATTGTTTATATAATTATTTTCTTGTAGGTTACACATTTGTTACCATATATGTTCATTTAAAAGCATTGTCGTGTCTAAATGTTAAACACTACAATATAATAATAATAATAATAATAATAATAATAATAATAATAAACCAGAAGAGCACTCTCAGGACCAGAATAAAAAACAAGTTGAACTTTTCTCACCCGCACTCGGAAGCGGAACATGGCGAGGCGGACGCAGTGGCTGAGGCAGGCCGGGGGCAGGAACCATGCCCGGGGAGGCGGGGTGGCCTTGCTGCCGACGTGGTTGACTATCAGCTGCGCCGTCTGCCGCTGGCCCTGAGCTCGCCGCGCCCACTCAGGCCAGCGCTCCTTCCCCAGAGTGCCGTTGAAAACCACGACGAGCTCCAGGCCACCCTGGTACAGGCAGGCCTGCGACAGGGCGGCCAGGTAGCCCAACATGGCGTTCCACTCGCCGCCGCACACCCAGTCCGTCTGGTAGCCGCCGTACAGCCGCTGCAGGCTGGAGTCAGCGTCGATGAGGATCCTTGCAGGCGGAGGCGGGGGAGGCATGGGCCCGGGATGGTGTGGGTGGTGGTGTGGGTGATGATGGTGAGGGGGCTGGCGGGCCGCCGTGCGAGCGAGCTTTAGGAGGTCCACGGGGACCGCGGCCCCGGGGCACCGCTTCTCTAAGTATTCTTGAAAGCCCTGCACTCCCATGACGGTGTTGTTGAGCCTGTGGGTCTGGCTGGGCGCTTCTGAGTACGTTCTGTACGCCGTGTTTGTAATGTGTTGTGGCGCGAGACCAGGTAAGCTAACTGGTCTCCTGTAGTGACAAAGTGTAGTTTTAGTTCGCGCWGTTCACACAACCTGTTTGTCACCGAGCCGATGCTGAATAACCCGAATGGARATATCTCAATTATAGTCGTGCCTGCTCAGTTTAGTGTCCATCCCTGTGGGTTGTTGGTGCGCTGCCAGCAAGGCCAGTGATACCATCTACTACCAGAAAAAGTTCAGCAGATTTTCTACTTCCATAATTATGGCCGCAACACAACTATCCTCCAAATGTTGAGCTGACAGCAAGTAACGGGCATGCAGATGGGTGCTAAATGTTGCCGGGATAGTTCTCCTGCGGGTTTAGTGCACATTAACAGATGCAGTACTGCGCATTAGTTAGCAACCCACAGGCTAGTGGATGGCCAGTTTGCGAACATAATGTTAAAACCTTGAAATTCGGTCCTTTTTGAAATGACAGCCGGGTTTTGCTAGCCACGTTTGTGCTGCACGTCCGTGAAATGGTTGCACTTGTCTCGGGGTGGGTGGTTGGTTCGGTAGTGGCAGAATATCGATTAAAATCAAAATGTTAAGAAGTGTGCCTGGGTTGACTGGCTAGCCGCACTACTATTTGCTAACAGTTGCTAGCCCTTACTTTAGCTACTCTGGCAGGGTCCCCGGCGTGATTTGACGCGTCAACTCCCGAAGACAAGTCCGGAGCGGACACGACGCGGAATGAAATGGATGTTTGACGAAATAAAATAAAAGTAACTAAAAGAAAACAAAAATAAAAGCCCGATGGTGCCTCCCTCGCTTTCTTCCACACTCACGGCTTCATGTTGCAAAGGGGAACATTACTTCCAAGCGACATCAGCCATCTTGCGACTTCCTCGCGGCCCAGTAGAGTGGGAGGGAGGTGAGGCGGGAGGTGGCACATCCGCGGAGGACGCTGGGAAATGTAGTCAATATGGACGTAACTTCCGAGGGGAAAAGCTTCGGTGGCAAACAYACTAAAACTACAAATACCAGCGTGACGGCAAGCACGGAATAAGACTAAAACGGATGAAGTAAAATTCCTCCAAGTGGTCTGCATGTAATGATCCGAATGAATGTGGAACAGAACATATTTCGTGTACTATTGCAAGCCAACCATTTGACGATACGTTTTATTTACATGCTGCTTATGTTATATTTTCCTGCTTTGACTTTTTTTCTGCTACATACACAGATACGCATTTGTTGGACGATATTCAAGTTGTAAGAAATAAATTATTGATAAATCCAGAATCATTTCAGCCTGAAGCAAGATCATCTATGAGAAGTGTAACAGGTAGAATGACATTATTGTAGCTGGTAATCATTCTTGGGTTTGTCGCCTCCCCGTGGTTGTACTCGGTACTTACTCTCAAACATAAAAAATAAATAAATCAATCTCTGTCTTTATGCATAAACAGAGGTCTTGAAAAAAAAACTAAGTAAAAGTAAATTAACTTAATAGAAAATGACTTTGGTAAAAAAAAATGTCACCGATGAGAAAACTATTTAAGTAAAAGACATAAAATTGTTCACAAAAATTGGGAAAGTAGAAATAAAAGTAAAAGTACTTTTCCACGCTCTCTAACAAATAAACTGTTAAATTTACAGAACCAAACTGGCTCCACAAAACCAAGTTGATTAAATTGGTCATTTTTTTTCAAAAATAAAATATGTATGTCTCCTAAAATTTACTCTACTGGGTTTAGTGGAAATAGTTGATATGATTTAGTTGAGTAAATTCAACACTTAATTTTTTTAGAGCACTTAAACAAGTCCTTTCATGATAAGTTCAGACAGATTTAAATTATTACAAGTAACTAGGTGTTAAACTAAGAAAGTAAAAGTAAAAGTCACGTTTTAAAAAAATACTTAAGTACTGTAACAAAGTAAATGTACTTTGTTACTGTAAACCAGTATATGTATATACACACACACACACACACACACACACACACACACACACACACAC